GTGTATTCAAGCCCCAAGCAGCTAAAAAGATAACACTGAACTGCAAAATTTGAAGTGAAGGACTGCACATCCTGGCCATATCTCTTTGCCTGCACACTCTCCATTATTTTATGCTTTGTAAGAAATGCAAGATATTATGATTTGCTTTGGAAAAAAAGAATTGGAAGTCAAAATTCTGTGCATGTATGCTAGACTGTTCAATGCTCAAAATCTGAACAAACCAACCCACTGTTATGATTACGAGAAAATGTTTGGGATAAATAAGTCTACTTCAAGTACATATCACTTTCTTATATGTTCACCTATGATCACTACTTCCACACAATGTTCCATTAGCATACATATTTAAAAACTGCTATACAAAAATGCACATTTAAATATGCAGTGTATTTTTTCAAACTGCACATTTTAGATGGCTTTCTTTCAACACATGTTTCTCAGTGAATCTCTTCTAAAATAAAATTTACTAAACACATTTTGTTATGTTTTTCAGGGTAAGAATCATATCAGAACATATTGCAACCATAAAAGCTGGTGAATAACTTAACTGATCCACACTCTAGCCAAAGAGATGCCACATACTGCATTAGGTAAGATTAAATTACTTGATCATCCCTATAAAAGATGACGCATCTGTCATAGCAATGGGCTTATCTGTGTCATTCATTATGTTGTCAAGGAGTGATTTTTTAAAAAAAATGTATACAGTGTTAAAATAATCAAGGGAGTTGTAGAAAATACAATCCTGAAAACGTACATGGTGCTTTAAAAATGAGATTTGAGCAGCAATTTACTAGAAGTCACTTTGAAATAACCAGCCACCTCTCCAAGCAAGTCCTGAAGCAAGATCAATGCACAATGACATTCTCTTGCAAAATAATCTCTTTCATGGTTGTTGTGGGTTTTTCGGGCTCTTTGGCCGTGTTCTGAAGGTTGTTCTTCCTGACGTTTCGCTAGTCTCTGTGGCTGGCATCTTCATTGGACTGGAGTAGGAACTTTGACTGAAAAACCCACAACAACTATTAGATTCCAGTTGTGAAAGCCTTCGCGAAATCTCTTTCATGGTTGACATGAAACAACTGATAAGAAATACAAAACCATTAGGGTAAAAAACAATAATCCTAGAATTCTAAGGAAGAAATGGAGCAAACTGGTATCTGTCCAACTTGGTCCACCAGCACTTTACACTTTAAACAGAACCTAGGCAACTTACTATTCCCACAGGTATAGAGACCTATTTAGTCAAAATAAGGCTATTATATGCTATAGTGGCAGCCAGCCTCATAAGTTATGAAAGTTCTATTTTGTCACCCCTGTAAAAGTAATAGAGATCTCCATCTCCATGAACAATTCTTACTGCAGTAGCAAAATTCAGTTATTTGTATTTGAAATGAAATACTGTATAAACAAGTGAGAGAAATATAAACGTAGGGAAGAAAGAGACATACCACGCCACATCACATACACCAGATACCAACTCAGCACCAGACATCAAAGAGCAGCATAACAGCGGACTTCATTTCCAAAAGCCAGTGACACAAACATAATGGAGTTCCTACCACAGATGCAGTTGGGCACAAGGCATTATTTAATACTTGTTTGTGCAGCCATCCTTCAGTCTCGAGCGACTATGGTAACATGCTTTGAACAGAGGTCTTGGAACAGCATCTAGTGTGGCCGAGGCGGCCAATTCAAGAGTGACAATCCCTTCCACACTGAAGACAAATACAATCTGTTCCCACAGTTACAGAGACCTATTTAGTGTCATTTTGGAATTAATCCTTTTTAAATGCCAGTCGTGATAAACACAGGCTTCTGATTTTATAAAGTTCTATAGGGCTCTTAGGGAGATCTTTAAGAGTCAGACTTTCTGACCCAATAATATAGGAACATAAATATAAATTACATGTCCTTCATGTTCAAGACTGCCAATCTGTCAGGAAAGAGACAATATGAGCTAGGCAATAATACAGATGCCACTTATTCACAAGTATTAGCCAATCAGGCTTGTTCAGGGATCTTTAAACTACTGTTAGAAACTTCCTCCTCCTCCTTTTGTGTAGCCATGAGGCAGAAGGGATTGAGGAGCAGGATAATAGTCAACAAAGAACTAAGGAGCCCCATAATCATGAGCAACCCTGATACTGTCAGATATGTGAGAGATTTCTTTTATTGCTATTCAGGTCACTCTGAAGTTTTTGCATTTTAAAAATTAAGTTGTGTCAGGGAAGAAGACCTATGATATGATTCCACCTTAGTATTGCTTGTTTTAAATTGTGCATATTGCTTTTCCTTTAATATATAATGAAAGATAGCTTCATTTAAAATTAAGATGCTGCCTGACCAGTGCTGGCTTTGCTCTGCATACATACCAAAGACTGCCTTGGTTGATAAAGGGACCTGGGGTTTTGTTTACCGAGTCTTCTTATCATAAAGAAGGAGCCCTCTCCTGCCTGTTCTACAAAAAGAGGGAAGAGAGAATTCTGGCAGCAGCTTTCCTACTAGTACCTGTGTGAGACAATGCCTACTTGTCAAAGGAAAAAGTGCTTATATCAGTGACAAAGTAGATGTTAGTAGAAATACGTATTTCCTATTGACCTGTAGGAAATTCCACCATGAAATTTCTTCAGAGGTGTGAGCCATTAGACTTGCAAATTCAGCTTGCGTTTATCTTTCAATGACCAATCATAAAACTAAGCACACTAACGAAGATACATATGCACAGAAATTGCATTCTATGACACTCATACATCTTCATTTGCGGGACTATCTCTTCTAGAAACATGCTAAACATTATTCAAGTCTTAACCAGCTGGGCCTCTTAATCTTAGAATGCTCTGCTCTAATGCCCCTCAATATTTTACTATACAGCAGAACTGCCATGTTTAAATGGTGAATAATCTCCTACACTACATCTTTGAGGCAAGGCTCCTCAGATAATCCTTTAGAAAAAATGAAAATTAGTAAGCAAAAGCAAGAATGAGCATTCAGGGTTCCAAAGCATGTAGGGAGTCAACAGGAGCACAGCTGTTCTCTCTTGCAGATGTTCAGCCTAGACATGTAGAAGGCTGTGACATGGGAATGTAAGAAAGGGGGGAATAAACATGTTACCATTTTCTCTCTTCACTCAGTGCGGAATGCTTGAAAAGGAATGCATGGAATGGACTTAGTCCCGAAGAAAATCCCATTCAAGTTTTTTTTAAAAAAATGCCTATATCACAGCTATACTTTTCAATCACATCCATCCGTCTATGATCCAATTATTTGCCCTCTGCTGAACTGGCATCTCAATTTCCCCAGGAAAGAAGAGGTTACAAAAATTTCTAAAGGTGCATGAGTCACCAAATAATAACACCACTGATGTTAAAACCTTCCTAATATGCAAATTGCAGTATTTTGTTGATCATGTTTCACACAATTTAGGAAAGAAATTTTAATCATTGTACGTAAGCTTGTATATAGCGTCATTTAAGAATTTCACGAGATGGCTGAGCAGGATTTCTAACTCTCAAGGGATCATAACTCCATGGCACCTGAATATTATTTGCTGTTTCCACGTTTATGTATGCTTAATTTGCATGACTTATAATAGGCCAAACCCTTCAACTTTTATCTGCACAAGAGTATGAGCGTCCTTGGCAAACATACTGAATACATGGTTGTTGCGGATTTTTTTCAGGCTCTTACTGAATACACTTTTTAATGTACACTGTATACACACTGTATAGACAGCCTTGCTAATAGTTAATATTAAAAATTGTCATCTAAGAGATGGAAGTTTGCCTATGGGCTTTTCTTCTTAACTGGGTAGCTTTGCACAAGCGTATGAGCGTCCTTGGCAAACATACTGAATACATGGTTGTTGCGGATTTTTTTCAGGCTCTTACTGAATACACTTTTTAATGTACACTGTATACACACTGTATAGACAGCCTTGCTAATAGTTAATATTAAAAATTGTCATCTAAGAGATGGAAGTTTGCCTATGGGCTTTTCTTCTTAACTGGGTAGCTTTAATATAAGCTTTGGGACAGAAATTGTCCCAAAGCTTATATTTCATTCTTGGAGACTTTAACGCTAGAGTTTTTAATATAAGCTTTGGGACAGAAATAGCATAGCCGTGCGCGGCAGGACTTGTCACAGAATAGCTCGTGATTATAGTAGGAAGAGATTCTTCTTGCCTCTGTGTGTTTCTTCAAATCACTCCCACTGGTGGCAGCACTGGTTGCCTGGACAATGATTCCCTTAAAGACCGTGAACTATCAAGGATTGGCTAAGATCCTCTACGGGCAAAACATTTGTTCTGGAAAAGTGTCAATCGGAGGGAGGTATCTGAGCTGCCAGAATGCTCTGCATGGAAAAACTACAGTCTTGTGGAGTCTAAGCCAGCAGCTACAGAATTAAAACAAAACATATCCCCAGGGTCTGCACAGGATTTTGACGCCTGAGTGAGTAGCAGCAGCAAGTGGTGCCCCCTGCCCCATGTCAGCATACCTAGTACTCAGAGCCAGCCAAGCTACTTTGGCACAGGAGACACAAGATCTCTCCATCTTTAGTAGTAAAAGCTCAACAATAACAAAGGAGCTATTTGCTGCCCATTTTAACAATACTTTACTGTGACTGTGTACATGTATGTTTAAATTTTACACCAACTTGTGTTCCTTCATTGGAAAAAAGGTGGGATATAAATAAAGATGATGATGATACCATCATCCCAAATCTGTTGCCTGATGCAGCTTGGCTTACTCTTCCAGATGGTGGGATTGCCTATCTGGCAGCTCCATTCGACATTGGGCAGAACTGCTATACCTAAGCTATTTCACAAGAGATCTTCAACGTGTAAAGAAACCAATCAGTTCTACTTCTCCAGGATGTTGCCGGGCAAGGCATTCCGCGAGGCCCAGCCACATGCCACACTCTGCTGATGTACACACAGTAGAAAGAACAACATTTGCTTAGGCTACGAAAAATTCAAGACCAGGCCGTCAAGTCATGCATACCTTAGGCATCCCGTAGCGTTGTAGAAAATATCAGGGTCAGGTATGATACTTGATTTGGGATAATCTCTATCTGGCCAGCCTGAGTAAGGGATGAGAACAGTTTCTGTCAGTGGCTTCAGGGCCTCTCGAATCAACACGTTCTTCAGTTGGTCGTTAGAGGAGAGGTTCCACAGTAAACCTAAAATAGATAGAGAACAGTTTCACAGGAACCAAATCTTCCTTCACAGAGGTATTTGGTATTAACTGAAAAGGTTAAAAATCTAATTGTGTTAGAAAATACGTGCATTTTCCCACTTACATATTTCTCAACTGTTATAGAGAGGCTCTCTGCTTCGATTATTAGGTAAAGGTAAAGGTTCCCCATGACATTTAGTCCAGTCATGTCCAACTCTAGGGCACACTGCTCATCCCCATCTCCAAGCAGCCATAGAGCCAGCCTTTGTCCAGTTGACAGTTTCCGTGGTCATGTGGCCAGCACAACTAGACATGGAATGCTGTTACCTTCCCACTGTGGTGGTACCTATTTATCTACTCACATCTGCATGCTTTCGAATTCCTAGTTTGGCAGGAGCTGGGACAAGCGACGGGAGCTCACTCTGTCATGTGGATTTGATCTTACAACTGCTGGTCTTCTGACCTTGCAGCACAGAGGCTTCTGTGGTTTAACCCACAGTGCCACCACATTCCACACTTTTATTATTAAGCACCATCAATTCAATTCAGATATACAAAGACCCTTCCCAGGTTTTAGATATTACTAGCCACTCTTTCTGGTGGGGGGCTCTTGAATTGTGCAGCTTGGCCAAAGCCACACAGGTTGGCTCTTTTCCCAGTAGTCACAGTGGAGAGCTGAATAGCCAATCTCTGGCTGTGCAGCCAGGTGCTCCAACCCACTGATTCCAGCCAATTACTGCTTCTCATGCCAGAGGTATTATACAGCCATCGTGCCTAGTAGCCTGCAAAGCTTTACCCTTCATGAACCTATCAGTCCCCTTTTAAAACAGATTCAGGTTGGTGGGGGCCATCATTATGGTCAACAGCAATGCATTCTACAATGCGACAGTCTTGGCTTGGCGTACTGCAGTACTATTGGAGTACTGAGCCTTGTTATGTGCTACCAAGTCACTTTTGACTGATGACAGACATTACAGGGTCATCATTGCCATCCCCCACTCAGCAATTTTCCAAAGCCATGTACCCATCTGTAGTCCTACACTCCATCCACTATACCATATTGGCTCACCATCTTTTCTTAATACTTTCCTTAATACTGTGATAAAAAGAAGCTTAGCTCCATTTTATGGAAAACTTATTTTATAATCTGGTCATGGATCTGGTTCTCAAAACTCCCCCACCCCAGCCTAACTTTTTTATTGTGTTGAGTGCCTGGGAGAAGGAAAACTTGGATCTCACTGAAGATCGGGGCATTTAAAAGAAACTAACCACAAGAGCTTAACAACACTATTTTTCTGGTTTTTTCCCATTTATTTGTTTATTTTAGAAAGAGGTTTTGTAAGTATCATCTGGCAATATATCATAGCACCAATGGCTCCACTCTACAAAGAGAACTATTGTTTCTTCTGCTAACTGCTCTGAATTCCAAAACACATCTTTTAAATCTTATTTCAGTGCAGATGGTATTTAAATCTCGGCACAGAAGCCCTTGGCTCATGGATAATCATTCTTTTGTAATAAGCAGATACAGTAGATGCATTGTCATGTTAGTAAAAACGGAGAAGAACAATATTTATGATTTCGACATTACAGCCAGATCTGTGTATTACAACAGGAGAAACTTAAAAAAAGAAAAAAGAAAAAAAAGGAAAATAAATATCCCCAAAACAACAAGCTCCCAAAAGGGCCAATGGGATGCTGTGGATATAATAGTGGGGCATGAGAAAATTGACCCTGGGAAACAAGTATTTGTTAGACCAGGGTGAGCAACTATAAAAGGCAAACTGCTGCTCCTGGAGCCATTTTTTCCCTTGCTAAGGGAAACAATTTCTTCTTTACAGACGTAGTAGGAGAGCTGTATGGGACAAGGTGCTACAAAGACCATCTTGGGAGTAAGCACTTTCCCCACTCTTGTGTTAGACAAAAGCAGTTGTTCCCAACCTTGGGTAGCCCAGGTGTTCTTGGACTGCAACTCCCAGAAACTCCAACTCACACAGCTGGTGGTGAAGACTTCCAGGAACTGCAGACCAAGAACACCTGGGTTACCCAAGGAAACCACTGCCTTAAAAATTCAATATCCTTCTACAAACAGCAGTTTGGCATGCAAGAAGTGGCAGGTGAAGCTTGTTGAGGCACTGATAGAATAAATATAATCACCAACTAACTGCTGCAAAAGAAGCTACAGGCAGAGCCAAGGGCATTTCCAGGAAAATTAAGAGTGATGGAGACGCAACTCAGCACACATTTCTTACCTTGAGGCAACATGCCTCCAAAAATCACACCACTTACATTACACTGGCATAGTGTGTTTTGACTAAAATCCGGCTAGCTATATCCACAAATGTATCATAAATGGCATAATATTTGGAGACAAGGTGCCTCAAGTTAAGAAAACACTGTAGATACTGTCCTTTGGTTACTGAGTTGGCACAACTCAAGACACAACAGATTTCATCACTTGAGGCAATACACCTCCAAAAGCTTGCATTAAAGCAGAATCTCAGTAAGATTTTGGTCATTATTTGTTTTGTTTTTTTAAAATCTCTTGCAACTTTTTTCCCAAGAGTCACGGCACCTCACAACAAGACTGTCTCTTGCAACTTTCTTCCCTAAACAAGAGTCACGGCACCTCACAACAAGACTGAATAAAAACAAAAAATGAAGACACAAACAAATTCAGTATTAAACCATAATAAATTTAAAACATAGTATGAACCCATGTCAAACAGTATAGAAGAATAAAGCATCCATGGCTGAAGGTCCACATGAATGAAATAAAATGAAATAAAATCTTTGACTGCTAGCAGCAGGACAACAGAAAGGTGGTCAACCTGTTCCTTAGCAGGGAGCTTAGGACGCTGTGAGAAGACCCCAAGAAGGCACTCCTTGGAGTTCCCATCATGAGGTGCCCCTAAGGGTGGTGATTCTGAGAGAAAGTTCTCTCCTTAAAGTTCCAAAGCCTGACTATCTGAACCTCTGCTGTTCCTCTCCTCACAACTAGAACAAGATAGGGAGATGTAGACATTAAGATCTGTACAAAAGAATATATTCCTCTCAGATAAAATGAAGGGATACGAGGGTAGAGTCTCTGGCAAGGTTTTGATATTGTCATGAGGTCAGAATTTATTAACTCAAATAGATATGTAGTGAAGGTCAAGCACAGCAGGTGCAAGTAATCAAGAAAGGTGTGAAGTCATGCCATACAAGCAGATGTTGTCAGGTGCCAGAAGCTGGTGTAATATAATTTGTCATTGGCTGATAGGAATATGACTATGTATGAAGACATGTCCAATTCGGTTCTGTTTGAGAGCCTGTGCTACACTGAACTAAACTGCTTTGAGAGCTCATTATACTCAGGGGCAGAGATGCTGCCAGTTTGTCCTTTTGTCTGTATATTTGTAAATAGACTAGTGAAGTCTGAGTCTTTTATTCCACTAGAACTGGAGAACATGGGTGAGAATGCTACAAATCCTGACAGTCCCTTCAAGTAAAGTGCTCTGAATATCTGAACAACAACATGAATGCTTAATATTAGCATCAGCCAGGGAAGGGGACTCGACTCATGGGATTTGCTGTCGAGTTGGACTTAAGTCACACCAGTAACTCGACCCAGGTTTCAATAACTCAGACTTGACTCACCCATTCCCTCCCTTTTTTCTGGGGGGGGGGAGTTCATTTTTAATAAGGACTCAGGCATGGGGATTAGGACTTGTGGTAGAGGTAAAGGTTCCCCTTGACAATTTTTGTCCAGTCGTGTTCGCCTCTAGGGGGCGGTGCTCATCCCCGTTTCCAAGCCATAGAACCAGCGTTTTGTCCGAAGACAATCTTCCGTGGTCACATGGCCAGTGCGACTTAGACACGGAACGCTGTTACCTTCCCACCGAAGTGGTCCCTATTTATCTACTTGCATTATCATGCTTTCGAACCGCTAGGTTGGCGGGAGCTGGGACAAGCGACGGGAGCTCACTCCGTCGCGTGAATTCAATCTTACGACTGCATGGTCTTCTGACCCTGCACCACAGGCTTCTGCGGTTTAGCCCGCAGCGCCACCACGTCCCTTTAGGACTTGTGATTTGGTACCAAAGACTCAGCCTCAGACTTGGGACTCACTCAGACTTGGAACTCACATCCAAAGACTTGCCAACATCCCTGGAATTAGCACAGTAGTACTAGTGTGGTTGCATTATTTTTTTATTTTAAAGATTGTACAAGGGACTGGAATGGTAAACACTGATTCCAGCTCATTTTCTTACCAGCTGCCATTCCCATGGGCCCCTAGCTTAAAAGAAGGCTCCCACTAAAAGACAACCTGCTGAAAGGAGATTTTAGAAGGAGCTGTACTGTACATAGATGACCTTCAGAGTACACACTGCCGTCACTTTCCATAGTTGGGACTTGGTATAAGAGAGGTGTGGCTCCTTCTTGTATTTATGCTCTTCCTCGGGACAGGTCTGCCTCCCTGCCTGCTTTATAATTCTTCCTGCACAAGGAAGGATATGCCATTGCTTAGAGGTATGTTGTATGAGACAAGTTCAAGAGGTTAGCCACTCCCTGAAGGCTTTGTTGGCTCATCTTCAGAAGCTTGTTTTGACTGCCTCAGCTCTGCGCCTCTCTCTGTTGCTACTGAGCCGAGACTCTGTAATAAAGCTTCAGCTCCTATCAGTGCTAGCAGTCGTTTTCTCATAGATTCGTTCCAAGTGCTATTCAGCCCCTATAAAGCAATTACTGCTAATGGAATGGGAAACTAAGCCGACTCTCAGAACGACATCTACAACTTCGAATGACCTTGAAAATGTTGCTTAAGTAGTCCCATCAGTTAGAGATTGACGTTCTTTTATTCTGTATCTGAAAATATTTGCCTTCCGTTATTTCAGCTATGTGTATATATATACTGCTTAATATGTTTAATATTAAAATGGTGAAGAGTGACAGTACCATTTATGACATGTGTAAGTAACTCTAAAGTCCAAACAAATTTGCTTATTTCTCATAATTTAGTCTTCTGCTTGTTAAAAGGAAAAGTAATGAACCATTACATGCACTGAAATCTCATTTCTTTAGCACTGGACATGTGCAGTTTTGATAAGAACTTGGAGAAGTTACTTTTTGGAGATTACAATTCTCAGACATGCTGGTTGGGAAATTTTTAAAAAAGTTTTTACAAGAGCTGATTTTGGTGGGCTGAGAAACAGCCCTCCTTCAACTTTATTCCAGCATTGTCCAACAGCCCCAGCAGAAAATAGGCATTTGGGTGAGCAAATAGAAGGCAAGGATCTATCACACAACAAACAGAAATGGAGAGAAAACAAAGCCCATATATGTGAAAGGACTGCATTTCCTCAAGCGCTTTTGTATGTGTGTGAAACTGAGGTTGAGTTGCGTGAACATTTCTTGTTAAGAAATGTGCCCTTGGTTTTGACCTGATGATAACGACCAGTCTAAATGGCTTTAAAAATGACTTAGACAAATTCATAAATGATAAATCTGTCAATAGCATGTAAGTATAATAGTGACAAGCTACATCCATGCATGATCAGAAGCAGCATCTGAGTACAAGATGCTGGGAAATAACAACCAAGGGAAGTCAAGTCCTGAAGTTGCATGCGTTTGCATGCAGAGGAATAGACACAGAGAAACAGACTTTCCTGTGTTTCCTACATTATTGTTTACCTGCTCTGATCTATGATGACTTTCTTGGCACTGCTGATGCACTTCTTTGCCTCCTCATGTTCTCTCTCTCGTTCAAGAGGAAACATGTTGGCTTTACTCTCAAGAAGCAGAGGACAGCACAGGCTTCTTGCCAAGCATCCCCACTGTTCATAAGCTAGGACAAGGATTATCTTATCTCAGAGCATTTTCTGTAAGAAAATGCTAGGTGACTCATTAATCACCTTGGTGGCGGGAAACACAACACTGAATAGTATAGGTCCTTGTTCTGATCAAGCAAGGCTTTTATTTCATTCTGTTACTGAGATATGCAATCGTAAGCACAACAATAGGAGAGCTGTTTTCTCTGGGCGGTGGACTTTACAGTTCTGAGATGGAAAACAGTGATGCATCTCAAGAATAAACAAGCCCTGCATTGGGGTGAGAGAGACAAAACCAAGCAGGGAGATTAGATCTATGTAGATAACAAAGAACAGGTCAGTAGTATTCCCAATAGATTGTGGTCTCAGCTCCTAACAGAGTAATAAGGTTTGTAAACTACAGCAAGATATCCTGAATTTTTTTTTTATTCTGCCTTGGAAGGCAGGCAGGCAGAAAAGGAAAAGGAAAGAAAACTTAAGGAATGCAGAGTTTCCTGGATGCACTAAGAAGACACATTCCCCCCTCCCTCAACTGAAAATTTCAATTACTGAAGAAAATCTTCAATGCCTGGAATGCTAGAAATGAGGTGGCCACGTGGGCTACCAGATTCTAGGAGCCTATTCCAGAGAAGTATATTTTGCAAGTTCTGTGAGGAACGTGAGTTTTATAAGCCTCCAGAATTCCTGGCCTTTGACATAAGCACTAAGCAATCTGGAGAGGTGTTACCAGAGGAAAACTCTCACAATCACTCTCTGCAGACCTCCCCCACCAACCAACTAATCTGGGGTGATTAATCTGAAGGGAGCCTGTCAGCATTCAAGAGAGTGGGATGTTTTGGCAGAAGTTTTGGAGTCCAGCCCCTTCCTTTGTTTGTAGAAGTTACATTGCAACACCATGACGTGACACAGCCGAGTCATGGGATGCTGTTTCAGAGCTTGCCCTGGGATGGTTTAGGAAAAGAAGGGCACTGGGTGCTTGATTTAACTTCAGAAGAAGACATTCAGAAGTTTTTGGACAACTGCTAAGTAAGGCGGCCACTTGTATATTGCCAGACAAAGGGAAATGTATCACGGAGAAAGGGGACTAAAGAAAGGTCTGATGTGCATATGCTGATTTATATATATGGTTATCTATTTAGAAAGGACTACAATATAAACATAAATACAATACACACATCTCACCATAATGGGGATGACTATGACCAAGTCGGCTCTGCGCCTGCTTATCCTAGGTACAGTGGTGCCTCGCTTAACAACGATAATCCGTTCCAGGAAAATCGCCGTTAAGCAAAAACATTGTAAAGCGAAAATAAAAACCGCACTGAAATGTAATGAAACCCATTCAGTGCGTTCCAATGGGGTAAAAACTCACAGTCCAGCAAAGATCCTCCATACGGCAGCCATTTTCACTGCCTCTATAGCGAGAAATCTGTCCCTAAACACAGCAGGGAGCCATTTTAATCACCCGGTGGCCATTTTGAAACTGTTGATCAGCTGTTCGAAAAATGTTGTTTTGCAAAGAATCGGTTCGCGAAGCAGAGAACCGATCATTGCAAAGCGAAATTTCCCCATTCAGACTAAGATGGTCGTTAAGCGGATTCGTCGTAATGCGGGGCAATCGTAAAGTGAGGCACCAGTGTAGTAACTACTGATGGGCAACGTAAAAGCCCCACTCCAGATCAGTTGTGCAGGCAAATTGCCTCCCACTAAGAAGTCACTGCTGACATTGTGTGGTGTGCACAGAGTTCCACATGGCGATCTTCTAACTTGAAACAATTCAACTCTGAAAATTATGCCATCTGAATTATGCTTCTGGGTAAAACCTAAAAGGATTCAAAGGATTTTTGACAACATGCACTGTGCTTATGGTACGGGCCAAAAGTTTACCAAACGCATAAAAACACTAGGAAATGTCCCGCACCAAAGAACCACCTTTAAAACCTTGGGTGTTTCCTAATAACTCAGAACATCAGTCCCTGGTGGTACGTATGCTATGAAAGTAGCAGTCCAATGGCTCGACATCTTAATTACCTGTGATCTGTTTTTTTGTCTCCACATCTCTGGTTTGCTGTAATAGCCTGAGGAGGCTGGAGATCCCTTTCTGCTCTGACACTTCCAGTTTGTTGTCATTGTCTTCATACACCAGGTTCCTCAAAGCACCACACGCTGCCCTTTGGACATCCTCATTCTGCACATTTAGGAGTTCTAGCAGTCTGGGTATACCACCAAGTAAATAAACCTGTAAAGGAAAAACAGGCCAGTGTTTAAATAAAGAAAAACCTTCTTAGTTGACAGTAAACATGGAGGTCAGTAGGTGAAGATGCTGAGGACTGTAATATTTGGAAGTACCTGAGGAACTAGTTAAACCAAGACAATTCCTTTCAATACCAAAATGTTTTATCTCCGGGTTTATTGGTTTCTAAGACAAAGTCAGTCTCTCCAGAAAAAAAGAGTGTGTGCAGTTCAGTTGAGAAAACAGCAGGGTTTGAAATAAGGTAGGGCAACTGACCTTTCAGTGGGAACAGGGAAAAAATTTGATTTGTATTTTAATACAAACAGAACTAAATCATATTTCCTGAATTAACATGTAAACCAGATGCAACCATCTTTCAGGTTTTGCTCTTCTCTGAATGTTGTCATGTAGTTGTCCAGTAAAAATGTTTACACCAGGGAAATGTGAAAAGGCACTTGTTAGAGGAAGTTTATTTTCCTAATTAAATAAATATATAATTTTAAAAATTTAACTTGGGAAAGTTACTTATTTATACAGACATTTATTTAATCATTCATTCATTCCTTTAATTTGTAACCTGCCTTTCTCCCTGTGGAGGGACTCAAGAGGGCTGTTCACAGAACCATAGCTTCTAGCTCTTATGCCTTCACAAAAGGAGTCGCTACCCAATCCACAAAACATGTCCAAGAAAAATATCAGGATTTCAACAGAAACACAGCTGGTCCAATGGAGTGTTCTCATCTATCACTGTTCCAAGAAGAGTTCACTTGCTACTTTCCTCCTTTATATGAGTAATATGACCATCACCCTGTAACAGTGATGTGAATGTTTTAACATGAACCATAAGTCTGTACCTTTATACTGTATTATTTGTAAATATCCCCTGTACAATTTCACTATTACCTTTCCAAAGCTGGTATAAATATTTTATTTATTTTTAAAAAAATATTTTTACCTGGCTTTTCTACCCAAGGCAGCTTACAACACTGAAAGATAATATTTGAAGTTGAAAACAATTAGTATACAATAGTGGTTAACATCATGAAAATATAATATTTAAAGCTAAGAACAAAGAAGCATCTCACATCATTAAAGGGCAATATTAAAGCTAAAAACAAGTATACCATATATATGCATGCAGCGGTGCCGCGACTTACGAACTCAATCCGTCCCAGAAGAAGTTCGTAAGTCAAAATGTTCGTAAGTCGAATCAGCATTTCCCATTGAAATGCACTGAAACCAAATTAATCCGTTCCGGCTGTTTTTTTGTTTGTATGTAGAGGTGCCGCTTGTAAGTCAAAGCATTAGTTTCCATAGGAACTAATGCAAAACTGGTTAATCTGTTCTCTACTACTAGGGGGAGAATTTTTTTAAACCTAAGATGACTTAGGTTGAAAAAAGGGCAGGAAAGGACGGAGGGAATAATGGGGAAAAGAGGCTTACAAAATTCACTACACAAGACCAGAACTGAAGATTACTAGTTCAGATATGTAGCTTTAAAAAGGAACAGGTTGATTTATTTATTATGTACTTGTTAATTGCATCTTTATCCTGGCTTTCTTCCAATGCACTCAAAATGGTATCTTCCCACCACACCCCCATATTTATCCTCACAACAGCTTCATCAGAAAAGTCAAGCAGAGGAAGAGAATGGCTAATCCAAAGTGTCTCAATGAGTTTCATGGCTCACTGGGGACAAGAAACATGATCCCCCCAAGTCCTATTCACAGATGTTAGCCATATAGTGATAAACAAAGATGCCTTCCATGTTTATTTGATTTATATTCTACTCCCCATGCATGAATGGGATTCAAAGTGGCTTACAATTTTGTTGTTGTTGTTTAGTCGTTAAGTCGTGTCCGACTCTTCGTGACCCCATGGAGCAGAGCATGCCAGGCCCTCCTGTCTTCCACTGCCTCCCGGAGTTGGGTCAAATTCATGTTGGTTGCTTCGATGGCACTGTCCAACATTGTCCTCCGTTGTCCTCTTCTCTTGCCTTCACACCTTCCCAACATCAGGGTCTTTTCCAGGGAGTCTTCTCTTCTCATGAGATGGCCAAAGTATTGAAGCTTCAGGATCTGTCCTTCCAGTGAGCACTCAGGGTTGATTTCCTTCACTATTGATAGAACTATTGTTCTCTTTGCAGTCCAGGGGACTCTCAAGAGCCTCCTCCAGCATCATAATTCAAAAGCATCAATTCTTTGGCGGTCAGCCTTCTTTATGGTCCAGCTCTCACTTCCATACATCACTACAGGAAAAACCATAGCTTTGACTATGTGGACCTTTCTCAGTGACGTCTCTGCTTTTAAAGATGCTGTCTAGGTTTGTCATCGCTTTCCTCCCAAGAAGCAGGGGTCTTAATTTCGTGACTGCTGTCACCTTCTGTAGTGATCACGGAGCCCAAGAAAGTAAAATCTGTCACTGCCTCCATATCTTTCCCTTCTATTTGCCAGGAGCTGGTGGGACCAGTGGCCATGATCTTAGTTTTTTTGATGTTGAGCTTCAGACAACTTTTTTGCACTCTCCTCTTTCACCCTCATTAAGAGGTTCTTTAGGTCCTCCTCACTTTCTGCCATCAGAGTGGTATCATCTGCATATCTGAGGTTGTTGATATGTCTTCCGGCAATCTTAATTCCGGCTTGGGATTCCTCCTGTCTGGCCTTCCCCATGATATATTCTGGATATAATTTAAATAAGCCGAGGGACAATATATAGCCTTGTCATACTCCTTTTCCAATTTTGAACCAATCAGTTGTTCCATATCCAGTTCTAACTGTTGCTTCCTGTCCCACGTATAGGTTTCTCATGAGATAGATAAGGTGGTCAGGCATTCCCATTTCTTTAAGAACTTGCCTTAGTTTGCTGTGGTCCACACAGTCAAAGGCTTTTGTGTAGTCAATGAAACAGAAGTAGACGTTTTTCTGGCACTCTCTGGCTTTCTCCATAATCCAGTGCATGTTAGCAATTTGGTCTCTAGTTCCTCTGCCCCTTTGGAATTCAGCTTGTACTTCTGGGAGTTCTCGGTCCACATACTGCTGAAGCCTACCTTGTAGGATATTGAGCATAACCTTGCTAGCGTGGGAAATGAGTGCAATTGTACAGTAGATGGAGCATTCTTTGGCACTGTCCTTCTTTGGGACTGGGATGTAGACTGACCTTTTCCAATCCTCTGGCCACTGTTGAGTTTTCCAAATTTGGTGGCATATCGAGTGTAGCACCTTAACTGCGTCATCTTTTAAGATTTTAAATAGTTCAACTGGAATGCCATCACCTCCACTGGCTTACAATAAAACAGTGCAATCAATGGAATGAATGAAAGTACAAATCAGGGATCAAGCAAATGACACTGAAATGTGAGGCTACGTGCAGAGATCAGAAGCATCCCTTTCAGGACATTCCTATCAGCTTCCTAAGCCATTTGGCTGTCAGGATACAAATACAGATGATCCTTCAATGTGATCTTATCTTTATGAAGGGCTTGAGTGCTGTTATGTGTTAGCTTGGTAATTCTAATATCCAAGCCATCACAGAGAATGGGCAAACCTTTTGGTCTTAAGAGCGGGGGTGTAAATATTCCAACCATGCTATAAGGAATGGTGTTTGAGACTACATCCCCCAGGACTTTTACAAATTGTAACCTGCCCAGAGTAGTGCTGTGACACAAATGGAAGCAGGATATAAATTGAACAAACAAACAAAAAATACAAACAAGGAAACAAACAAAGAAAATTTACAGTATTTATTTATTTATATTCATTCATTCATTACAATGCTAGTATACTAGGATCCAAGCAACAAAATAATGTTATATTACAGGAGGTTGAAGCTGGGTCTACAAAGTCTATCATGTTCTACATAAGAGGAAGAATAAGAAGAGGAATACAACAGGAAAAAAGATTTTAAAAGCCCAGAAATGCTTCATTTCAGTGAAAGCTATCCTAGATGCTAGCCAATTTTTGTAAAATCACACATATTAGATTTGCAAATAGCTTCTTTCTAAACAGCTGTTTATAGTAAATAAAATATATTTTAGTCAAAACTTACATATTGCAATAGCCTCTCTGGTGGACAACATCATCTTGTACAGCCAGACGTTCATGAAATTCTAGCACTAGACTTTCCTGTTATTTCTGGCCAAGTCTGCAAAACTGCAAGTGCTTATTTTCTTCAGTTTTTCTCAAGATCCATCGAAAGGGGAACTCCCTCACATCTCTGTTTCCTTTAGTGCGACATCCCTAAAACCTGGTCCTCTCGTGAGGTTGAGTGAGGCAGCTGCGACAGACGGCAGGGGATGGGAGTAGGTAGGAAGATCCTGAGAGACAGAACTGGGCGTGCAATACCAGCAGCCTTTAGACATGGTTCAGGATACTGTCCTGTCACAAATGTGGAAATAAGATGCAAACGTCTAGCCTGCAGGTAGAATGGAATTGTCCTTTGCTCACCCCTACTTCCCAGGCAAGCAGAAACATGAGGGGCCAGTGGGGAAGAGGTGTTTGCCCATGATCTGTGCCCCTTTGTTTGAAGAACTGGGGTGTGAAATCCAATCCACAGCAGCCTGAACTGTAAGTTTAAACAACCTTCCTGCTTCCATCTAAGAAAGACTGCCTAGTGAAATCCATCTTCCTAAGAACTTTTGGAATTTACGTCTAAGAGTAACTTTCCTGGCATAATCCATCTGGCCATGAACTTTTGGAATTTTGCCTTGAAGAAGTGGGATTTACCCATGAAAATCTGCAGATCGTATTCTTTAAAAATGTTTTTTGAGTCGCCTATAAATGCCCTTGCATTTATTTTTTTCTTTCGGCCAGACGGCTCCTCCCTTTTTATTCCCTTGCTTCAGGCAGCAAACTATCTGGGGATGGGCCTGGATAAAATATCTTGGGCTGGCCATATAACTCTGAGCTTGGATGAGGTACTTCTGCATACTACAGGTCCCAGTGTCCCCTCAGCCAGCAGAGGCTGGGAGATTCTGGTAACCCAGAAAAAGTAAATTTTCTGAAGTTTGC